CCAAGTACAACTATACCTACAAGTACAACTACACCTACAAGTACAACTACACCTCCAAGTACAAATACACCTCCAAGTACAAATACACCTCCAAGTACAACTATACCTTCAAGTACAACTACACCTACAAGTACAACTACACCTACAAGTACAACTATACCTCCAAGTACAACTATACCTACAAGTACAACTACACCTACAAGTACAACTACACCTCCAAGTACAAATACACGTCCAAGTACAAATACACCTCCAAGTACAGCAGGTCAAAGGTCAATCAGGAAAGAGAGTAAAGTACAGTGTGAGCGCTGAATGACTTCACTAAGATTAGCTGAACATCAGCTAAAAACTTAATGGATCAAAAGTCTAGCAACACTGGATTAACGTCAAACATTTCACAAAAAGTAGCTGAAAACTTAATGCAGAAAAAAACTAGCTAAAACTAAAAGTAGCAAAACAATAAACACTTTCAAAAAATCTACCAAAAACTATGAAAAGTCTAGCTAAAATATCAAAAGGTTAGTAAATGATAAATATAGCAAAGAGCTAACTATATGTAGGGATTTTACATATTTTTGCTAACATTTGGACCCATAATATCTGTAGGCCGATATTATCGGACTTCCTTTATTTATTAAGGCTAAAAATATCAAAGGATATTCTTTTTTTTTCATGTGTGAATGTTGTTCTTACATCAAAAACGTCAGCTCATTTAGGATATGTGTGACATGACTTTTGGTTTTTGTCTTTTAGCATTTAGCTAAAAGTTTGACACGTTTGGCTAGACGTTTGCTACTTTTAGCTGCCATTCTGCTGCTTTTAGCTTTTAGCAACTTCTCTGCTACTTTTATCTTTCAACTAACCTTTTAGTACTTTAGTTGTAATTGCTAATTTTAGCTATACCTTTTCTACTTTTAACTTTTAGCAACTTATTGGCTACTTTTAGAATTTAGCCAGCCCTTTGATACTTTGTCTACACTTTTGGTATTTTTAGCTTTCAGCTCCTTTGTTACCTTTATCTAGATGTTMTATAATTTTAGTCTTTAGCTATCATTGTGCTCCTTTTAGATTTCAGCTACCATTTGACATTCTTACTTTTAGCTTTTAACTAATATTTTGGTACTTAGGCTAGACTTTTGCTACTTCTAGTTATGCCTGGATTTGACCAAAATGTGTTAATAAATGCTTGTGGTCCAGAGACGTTCACCGGTGAGCGATTGATGACATCATCAAACTGGATTATCTTCCAGCGGGGTATCAAAAAGCAGGTATAATGTCCCTGACAGGATTTACGTGATGTCACCTTAATATCGGTTTGTAATATCTGTTAATATCYGAATCGGAAATTAAGTGTTGAACAATATCAGCAAAAAGTCAATATCGAGCATCTCTACTTAAAAAGAAAAGAGCAACATTTCTCAGGAATGAYAACCAGACTTGTTCAGATCTGGATGAGAAAAGCTTTGATGGTGGAGGTTCTCCTCACCTTCCTGCTGGTTTTGTTCGCAGGCTGTTTGAAGAAAAGCTCCACCAGCCTGGAGTTCTTCACCACCTCCCCGATGAGGCTGATCACCTGCTGGGTGCCCTCCACCAGCTTCTCCACCCCGTCCAGCCMGCGCCCCTGACTCTCGATCCTCTCACCTGCCCGGTCCAAGTCCCCCCTCAGCTCCCTGCAGACCGCCTCCACCCCCGACCCTCGTCTCCCCTCCTCACGCATGGAGGCCAGGTCCAGACCCATGCCCCTCACGTCCTGGGACAGGCCGTCCAGCCGGGTCAGCACGGTGTGCTGCATGTGGAGCAGYCGCTCCATCTGGGAGCTCAGGGAGTCCATCCTGCTCTCCATGCAGCGCAGGGAGGCATCGAGCTGAGGGGACGAAGACGAGGCTGGAGGCCGGTCTGATCCACCCAGAGAGAACTTCCTCCCTGGAAGCTTCTGGCCGTGAAGAGGGTTTGGGTCGTACATCTTGGCTATAGAGCTGACCAGGCTGGAGCTCATGATGGTGTGTCTAAAGCTGCCTGCTCAGAGCTGAACAACAAGCTGAAGCATTTTCACCAGTAACAGAGGTGCAGAATGAAGACGTGGACAGAGGACATAAATCTGTCCCTCGGTCACTGCAGAGCCGAGTAATAAGAATAGCAAGTGGCTCTTCTCCAAATGAAAGTGCAGACGTCAGGGGCCGAGTGGCCAGTGATAAGAGCCGAGGGCGCGGGTGTGCAGCTGGGGATTGATGGGCTTTAAGG